AAGCTAGACCTCAGCATTATAAAAACTGTAATTCTTTCTGTGTATAATAAAAAGAAAAAATAATGAACAGCTAAATGCTAAAATATTGCATGCTTATATTTCATCCAAAATTTATCATTTTTAAAACAGTATTTAAGATGATATTGATATGACCTGAAAAGCCTGCTTCTTTATGGCAGGAAGAAAAAAACATTTCCTTGGGAATTATAGTCCTCAGGTTTAAGACATATATTGCCTACAAGTTTCCTGAAAATTTCAAACTCTGTATCTTATTTTGTAACTCAGCAACCTACACTGTGAATGCTCTATAACTAATCACCAATGGGATCGTTGCTGGTTTTAACTTGTTGAAGAACTTTATTATGGTAAAAATAGGTGTTCAAGGTTCCTATTTCACACTTCAGATTTGTAAATCAAATGATATAGTTCTTTGGGAGAGCAAAAAGTATTTTCATTCAAAGGAATGAAAATTAATCTCTTTATTTGCGTGTTAGCAAATGAGTGTTTGGACCTTTTATCATATCTATATGTAGGAAAAAAACAGTTTGTAATTGACATCTGGATCAAGACTGGAAATTTTTAGCAGAAGTGGTTGGAAACTGTTCGATGGCTTATGAAGAGTAATTCTACAGTCCTACTGCAAACAGTGGGCTTCATAGTTAAAGACAGAAACCACATCAAAAACAAGGAGAAGAATACTAATTGCATAATCAACCTTAAGATCTATATCATTATTTAGTAAGTCATCTGACAATTCCTCAACCAGCAAACTACAGTGTAGAGTTTTCTGTTGACAGCCATGTTGAATATGTTGGAGAAAAATTTCATGATTGCAACACATGGGAAATTTATGACAGGAATTTTAGGGAATGAACTCACTGGACTCATAAGTTGTATTGCCTGGATTAGAAATCAGAAGTTCTTTGGATGACTTCTTTCTTACTAGTCTAGCCTTTAACAGAATCTGTTGATTTGTTGCTATCAATTGTAAATGTGTTTTCAGTTCTGTCCCAGGAAATCCCTGACACATGCTAACTGGGACCTACATATTAGCCAACCTCCTGAGCACTTACTTTGCTACTTATCTTGCTGCATTTTATTTCCTGAAGATTGCCAATTTCTCCTTTTTTTCCATTGGCTAAAATGGAGGATTAACAAGGTGGGTTTCAGAGTCTACTGGTTTCTGTGCCTTTCCTGTTCATGAGCTTTGCTTTGTCACATAGCTTTGATGTCTTCTGGTATCATGTCCAAAAATAGAAAGAAATAAGGCAGGGTTTTTTCATATGAAACAAAATTTTATAGTTAAACTATTATTATCTTTATTTTTTTTTGTCCCTCTCTCCTGTATTTCCTCTTTTTTGTTGTTCCCTTTTTTGTGGAAATGCATGAAGCATATTAAGTTTAATGTCGGCCATTTCAGAGATCCCACGGTAGAGGCCCACATCAAAGCAGTTACTCTTTTTTTCTTACTGTGTCTTTTGTCCTTTCCTCTGTATCAATTTATCCTTTTTATGACATTTGAGAGTTTGTGGGTTGGGGGAGTATTTTTGTTTTGTTTGCTACAGAACAAGCTGGTTGTGATATTTGTTTTGTCATAGGAATTCTATATCCTTCAGGTCACTTGTGTGTTGTGATTTTTGTAAATGTCCAAATGAGAAAAGCCTGAAGCTTATCCTAAAAAGACAGGCACTCTAAGCTACACAGATAGGCCTGCAAGAGAATTTTGTAGAATATACCTGTCTTCATTGGATTCTTCTTTTGTATGTGCACTGTGACACTGAGGATCACATAAGTTATTCCTAGACTTGGATAGAACTCTAACCTAATAAAAACAAACAAACTAAAAAAGCAAAGAGAAAATACATCAGAGGACTTCAAGCTTAGTTAGAACTTTTATATTATTTTTTTAAATTTTTTAATTTTTTAATTGTAGTTGGACACAATACTTTTATTTTTATTTATTTTTATTTGGTGCTGAGGTTTGAACCCAGGGCCTCATACGTGATAGGTGAGCACTCTACTGCTGAGCCACAACCCCTGCCCCTTTTATATTTTTTAAAGTATTTACTCACAACAATCTACAGAAGATGGATGTTGTCAGAAATTAAAGGTCATCAAAGTAGAATGAGTAAGAGATAGTGAAACATAACCAAGAAAAAGTTAAATAGAAAACATATTCACAGAACATTGAAAGTCACTGATTATTAATACTGAGTTGCTTAAAAGTTAGGATGGTGGAATCAGTCAGTGTTTTGTGGAATTATGAAGTCAATATGGATCTGCAAAGTAAACTATTGTTCAGAAAGTCATAGTTTATGCCAAATGTGCCATTATCTCCAACAATTTATTTCCTTTAGGAAACAACTTTGTCTCTCTAATGTGGATTTAACCTTTATTTCATATTTTGCTAACTTTTTACAATAAATTTTTATTCATGAATATTTTTGACACTGATGTAACTAACCACAGAAATTAGATAGTCCAGATTTTGTGGAAACTGTTAAACAGCTGTCATGACAGCCTAGGTACTACTTCCTGAAATTTGATTAAAATAGCATATTGTAAAATCTAAGCAATGAGGAGTTATCATATATAGAATGCACATTGTGTTCTTGGAAAAACAAAAAGCCTGTTTCTCCTCTACTTTCACACCACAATAAACAGAAGATTTCTGCACTCTCAAAAGTTATGAGGACAAAGGTCAAATATTTTCCCTCATATATGGAAGCTAGAATAAAATAAACACAAGGGGGAGCAAAGGATAGGATATTATAAAGATAAAGAGAAGATCAGTAATGTAGAATAAGGAAATCAAGAGGCAGTGTGAAGGGATGGGAAAGGAAAGGAAATGCAGAATGAATTCTTTAAAAATCATGTTATGTGCAAATATAGATAGGCCACAGGGAATTTCACCTTTATGTGTAAGTAAAAGAACCAATCAAATGTAAATAAATAGATGAGCAAAAAAAAAGTCTAACAGAGTAAAGATAACATGGGAGGGGAGAAAGGACAGGAAGCAAAAAGAGGGGGGAAAGAGTGGGGATCCTGAAATGAAATCAAATTCTATGATTTTGTTAGGATGGACCCAACTACTATGTATAACTATAAAGCTCTAATAAACAAAATAAAATAGAATAAAATTAAAAGTTATGGGAGTATTTCTCCACCAGTGAGCAATGAGTTCCCCAATAGCAGACACTTCTGTCACTATCTACACTCTCTAACACTATCTACCTAGAGATCAAGTTGCATCCCTCACAGTGAATGCTCAGTCCAAAGACTGCTCCCCACTTCAGATACAAGTTGCAAACCCCAGGTTAGTTTTTCCTAACCCAACAGCTATCAGTCTGGATTCCCACAGTCCTCTCTTTAGGTTCCATTAATTTGCTTGGCCCACAAAACTCGGGAAATATTTCCTTATGTTTATCAGCTTTAAAGGATATTACAGTGGACACAGACAAAGAGATGCATATAGTAAGGAATGGGAAAGGTGCAAAGTTGTTGTGCAGTCTCTGGGTGCACCACCCTGCAGAACCTCCACCACGTCTTCTGCTGCCTGAAGCACTCTGAACTCTGACCCTTTGGGTTTTTAATGGAAATGCCATGACTTAGTTATGATTGCTAGCAGACTGTGCACAGAAAACTAGCAAGGCCTGCCTGCTGAGATTCTTCTTTGGCTCCCTAAACAGCATGTTTTCCTCCAGGGTATGAAGCAGGACCACACTGGAATGGGGAGGACCTATTATCAAACAAAGTAGATCAGGGAATTTCTTTATAGCCAGGAAAGATACGATTTTTCTATAACCTGTCTTAGAACGTTATAAACCAGGAACCATGGGGATTTGCATTACTGGGGATTGAACATTACTGGGGATTGAACCCAGGAGTTCTCTGCCTCTTAGCTACATCCCTGGCCCTTTTTATTTTTATTTTGAAACAAGGTCTTGCTAAGTTGCCCAGGCTGACCTCAATTTTGATTTTCCTGCCTCAGCTTCCCAAGTTACTGGAATTACAGATATGTACCACCGTATCTGGCTTGTACAAAAACTTTTTACATTTTCATCCATAGCTCTGCTGGTTCAGAGGGAAGAGGATCATGCTGCTTGATATATACTGTGTTTTTGAACCACTTACATTCATTGTGTGGTTAGTAAATATTCCCCTAAGACTCATAAATGTAGTTTTATCTTGCTTGTTCTTAGTACAGAATGAGGACACAAGAATCACTATTAACTTGTGTCTATTTTATCCTGTGATTTCAGCCATAGGGAACTTTTTCTTATCCAACCATTGTTCTTCCTCAGATTTACATTACTGAATCTTAGCCTAAGAATAAACTCACTCTGAGGAATTTCCACTTATTGGAAACTCATCAAACATTCTCCAAAAACTACATAGGTTAACTAGATAGACTAAAGCCACAAAATTCCACACCCTCAGCTTAAATAGAAGATAGAAAATAATAAAATGTTCCGGTGTTTTCTAAATAGAAAATTGCACACCAAATTCCCACAAAAAATCTCTCTATCCCCCTGCTGTAAGCCCTATAGAGTTTGGTGGTGATGGTCATGGCATGGAAGGTCCCTGGAAAATTTGTGTGAAAGACACAAAAGTGGAGTGGGGATCTAAGAATTGACTAATCTCTCCCTGAGAAGAAAAACATCCACCTTAAATGCAAAAATTCTGAAATAATCCTGGCAGATGATAACAAGGACCACACAGAAGGGAATTTAAAGTGTGCAGTTTCATAAAAATTGCTTTTGGAGGATGAAAAGGAGACAAAGGAAGGGAATGACCCTGGGGAAATCTAGGTAACCAAAGAAAACAAGAATAGTAGTCAGTTTGGACTTAGGACCCTAAGTCTGAGATGATTACATCTACAAAGCCCCCTTTTCCAAATAAGGTCTCATTCAGAGGTACCAGGTTTAGCTCCAGTACTTTTATCCTAAGAAAAGATACTTCCTCCAATTACTCTATCCTAATAAGAGTTGGAGCTCTACATGGAGGGAGTAAGTGGAGGGAGAATATCCCTCCTTAAAATTTATTTTCTTCTCAGGTGCTATAATCAGGTGGGTCCTGAGACATTTGTCAGTTTGATATGCAAACAAGACCAGACAGGACATAGAATAAAGGAGGAGACCCTGGAGAGACAAATACTTTCCTCCTGTTTTCCCTCTGATATACTTTAGAAATGGGATCTCAAGTCAAATGGGATGTTGTGGCTCAGGAGTGAGGAGGTGTGTGGTGCAGACCTAGTTGGGTCTTTCTCCAGATGGAAAAGCCCAGAGGGCCTGAGCCAGTGTGGTAAAGAGAGATTTACAAATGCTGAACACAGGACTTCTAACCCTGAAGAATCCCCAAGTTAAAGCTGTAACCAGTAGGGGATTCTGGCTATATTTAATCTCAAGAATCAGAATTTATAAGGAAACATAAAATTTCGTTCTAACTTCTTACTTTAAAGTTTTAGATGAGTAAATTTAAACTTTCCTGTTAGAAGAAAGAACAAAATGATGTCATAGAATCTTCTCATTTGCATTTTAGCAAACGTGAGTTCAGCCTTCAGCTAACCTGAGAAATTCAGCCTGAGACAATGGCAAAAAGATATATTTGATAATCAATCTGATACAAGGATTGCTGTTTAGAAGGATTTTGTGTTTGGAATGACTTTTATAGAGCTTCCAGTAGTGTTTGCTCACATCAGGGTTAGATATTTTTTTGGTCTGAAACAGACTCCAAAATAAAAGCCCAAAGAAGAGTATTTTCAACTGTTGTATCATTTTCCAAAAGTCATCTGGAAAACAATCATTCGGTTTTGGCAGAAATAATGAGAATGTACTTCTGATATGTCAAGTGAATTCAAAAAGTTTTTAATAATAATTGAAAGTTTAGAATCCATAATAAGGATTTGGGGAAATGGATTCATTGGATTAGTAATTTGTACTGAATAAATCAAAACCAAGAACATCTTGTTTGACTTCATCCGAAGGGTTTAGCTACCTCCAGAATTGGAAATGCATACAGTCTTCCTGCTTTTACCATCAGTCTTAGAAGGGAATAAGACCAATTTGCAGGTGGTACACAGTCCATTAAAACAGAATGAAATAAGAAAAAGTATTCTTTTTAGTTGAATGATTTAACAAAGATACTGCATGCAAGATAAATATTCAAATAACAGAGATTTCTTGGATTTCAACATAAATGCATTAGAAAACATTGCAAACATCTTTCCCCATTTCTGAAAGTGATCAAAAGCACAAAGAGCCAAGAAAAATCTTTTAAGTAGTAAATAGAGACTGTATTCTTTAAATTTTGAAACACTGTATGAGTTATACCTAAGACCCAAGTAAATATATAAGTATACTATTGGAAATTTAAGATTAAGTATATGGTAATACCAAATCTTTCTTTATTATAATTTTATTGAAATGCCATTTAAAATAGATTTAGTTAGGAAATTTACAAAAAAAAAAAAAACAATTGCAGCACATCAACAAATATAAAGATGAAATAATTGCAAAGTACTTGTTTTGGTTTTCTTCCCTCTTTCCCTCCTCACCCCCAGTCTTTCTCTTTCAAGATGAAAAGCACTTTAATTTCTGAATGCAGAATTTCTATGGATCCACTACATTTCTAGTTGAATGTGGAAATTCACAAAATACCACCACATCCATTCTGAATATTAGACATTTATTGGAAATTGTTTTATGAATCAAAGTATAATTAATCTTGGTGAATCCTGTGTGTGTATGAAAAGAATGTATATTCTGGAGTTATAAGTAATCCTCTGTAAGTGTTGATTTAATAAAATTACTTGACAGTGTTCTTGGAATTCTCTATACCTTTACTGGTGTTTTATCTATTTGTTTTATCTATTAGTATGCGGGGGGTGTCTTAATCTGTTTGTGCTATAAAAAAAACCTTAGATTGAGTGATTAATAAACAATAGAAATTTATTTCCTCATAGTTCTAGAGTCTGGGAAATCCAAAATCAAGGCATCAGCAGATTTGAGTTGTGAATGCTGTTATCTGCTTCCAAGATGGCACCTTTTGCTGTATCTCTTGCTACTGCTTCTTTCTGAAATTGTATCTCTTGTATTTGTACACACTTCATTCATAGCTGATATAGCACACAAATTCTTGTTGATTCTAACATGTGTAGTCCATATGAAGATTAAGCCTGTCTGTTTCTTTTTTCTTTTCAAAATGTCATTCCTGGACATTCCCAAGCCTCATTGTGAGCTCATTCTGTGATTAAGCTCTTGGGAGTCATGCCAGTGTTAACAGCAACAAGCTCTTCTCTTCACTAAAGCTCCATTTATTCATTTTTAAGAAAAAGGTAAAGACAGTTCCTGTCTTAAAGACTTGAAGCCTTATTGTGAAGTTGAAATGAAAAAAATAATAAAGAAGTATTTAACAGCACTAAAAACATAATATGGGCTAAATATTAGATTTTACTTTTAACATTTAGATCAATATACTGGTTTCCTTGAGTGTTTCCTGCTTTTTATATTAGAACACAAAATCCGTGAGTCAAAAAACCTTTGAAAGTCCATCTGCCCTCAGTGGCCAGAAGCAAGCATGGTATACTTGGACACTCAGGAAATATTCATTGAATAAATGATGGATGGATGTGAGCAAATGAAACTATGCTTTCATGTTAAAAGTGGTGAACATTATCTTCTGAATTCCTGGATGCAACAACTAAGAGTATTGCATAAAAACATTGCAACAACTCTGTGAGACAATATTTGTGAAACTTACTATGCCAACAAAACAACTAATTTTTTTTTGGTACCAGGAATTTAACCCAGGAGTGCTCAACCACTAAGCCATATCTCCAGCCCTTTCTTTATGTTTTATTTAGAGACAGGGTCTCACTAAGTTGTTTAGGGCCTCACTAAGTTGCTGAAGCTGGCTTTGAACTTGATCCTCCTGCCTCAGCCTCCTAAGCTGCTGGGATTACAGGCATATACCACCATACCTGGCTAGAACTTACATTTCAATTAAAAGTTTAACTAATTTTTCAGGATAAGCATCTACAATGACTACATTAATTTGTTGCTTCTATATGCTAGTTTTTCCTTTATATATATATTTAAACTGTGATCATAGACAATAAAAATGATGGTGATTTGATATTGAAAAAGATGAAGTCCAATGTTTGTTTCTGATATGTTTCTTATCCTGTAGGTCTAGTTTGGCACTTCTACTCCATAATTCAGTTTATTAAATGTAAAAGAGTCTTAGAAGGACAAGGAAAATCTATAAAACTGAAACTTTCATTTGCATATTAACAAATTATAAGTAGGCATCTGTCTAGATATATGTTCCATAGACTAGCTAAGTTATATAGAAATAACTGGATCAATTTCTGTGAAGACGTTTCTGATAGGATCACCAGTCATTACCAAGGCACTTTAAAGTCTTTATTTAAAGAAAGAGAAGAAAGTCACACTTCCCATCAAGCCGATAATATATGCTTCTTTTTGGAGCAGGTAATTGAAAGCAGATGCAACAGAAGTGACCTTGGATATTGAAGATATGCCAAGCGTGGTAGAAATCCTCTTTTTTGTCACAACTACTCAGTACTGGGGGTTTTGGGGAATGAATTTATTGGGCTTGTAAACTGCATGGACTGTGTTAAGAATAAGAAGTTCTCTATTAATGGCTTTATTCTCACAGGCTTGGCTATTTCCAGAGTTTCTATAATATGGTACATAAGTTTTGATGGAGTCATAAAGTCATTCTCTCCAGATATGCATACTTCTAGTGACCTAACTGAATATTTTAGTTACTTAGTTTGCCAAAGTCCGGCTGCAGCAAAATAACCGGAGGGTGACGAGCAACTTGTATAGATTGATACAGCAGGAGTGGAAGCCGTTTATTGTAGGACCGGAGGGGTATATATACATTCCACACAGCTTATCTTAATTAACATAAACTAGATACAGCAGTCAACCAATAAGGAATCTCCACACTTAATGGCTTGCTGGTGTTACTTCACAAACCACTCCCTCTGCAAAATACCAGGTGCCATCTTGACTTGTTTACAGACTCTAACATTAGTTGAATGTTTTAGTTCCTCTGTCACTTGAATATCTGGTTTTCTACCAACCTCAGCATCTTCTATTTTTTGAAGACAGCGAATTTTTCCCACTACATATTTCTCTGGTTGAAGAGAAGAATCAATAGAGTTTTTGCCTTTCTGATTGGATGCTTGCTTGTGTCATGGTTACTTACTTTTCTACAAGTTGTGAAAGTGATTAGTGGTGATAAAATGAACCATAGAAACACATCATAGCTGTTTCACCTACAGAGAAGTGATTTCTTACTTAAACAGATTTTTCTCAATCTGGGAGTCACTCTCTTCTTTACAGTATTCCTAATTACCTGTGTCCTATTGATCGTTTCCCTGTGGAGACACAAAAGTCATATGCAACTGAACAAAAATTCGCAGACCTCAATACAGAAGCTCATGTGAAAGCCATGGGAGTTTTAATATCTTTTATCATCCTCCTTATCTTGCATGTGATAGGCATCCTCATAGAAGCAGTATGTGGTAGTAAGCCAGAAAACAAACTGCTATTTACTTTTGGTTTCACAACCACAGCCATATATCCCTGGGGTCACTCCTTTATCCTAATTCTAGGAAACAACAAGCTAAAGCAAACTTGCTGGAGGGTACTGCAGCAATTAAAGTGCTGTGAGAAAGGAAAAAATCTCAGAGCCTCAGACAGGCTTGCACAGAAACGTATGTTCCAGGAGAATAATCCGCTGAGAAAATCCTCAAAGACCTTTTTCCTTCTTTTGCATCACATTCTTTTATTGTTCTATAACTGTGTTATGGAACTTCATTCAATTTTCCATGATATGTTCTACTATGTCTCAGAGAATATCTCTCTCTGATGAGATTTTAGTCTCATGTGCAAGTTCCTGACTCTTCAACATCTTCTCATACTCTTCCCAAAGGAAAAATGTCAGCCTGGAACTATTCTAGGTAAAGACTATTGTGTTGGGAAGAGACATTTAAAACAAGCCTCTGTATTGTGCTTTGCCCAACTGCCCTGAAGCACCAACCCCCATCTTCTTCCTCAGGAAGATCTACAGAAAAAGAAACCAAGACAGAAAATCTTGATCAATCTTGACAGTTATGATATGGACTTGAGAAACAGAAAAGGATACTTTTTGTGTGTGCAATTTCAATAATTTAGAAAGTTACTTTTATATTCACTGTTAAAATCCTAATGTGCTTTAAATAAAAACTTGGGTATGTTTGTTAAAGTACGAGTAATCATATTGGTAAAAGTGAAAATTAGTTAGAGAAAGAGTCTGCCTTAGGGAGAGGGGATCAGAATACGTATGAAATGAGTCTTCAGACTCCTCAGTACAGTGATTTGAGATGAAAAGTCAAGAATCAAATCAGTTGAGTAAGGATTCTGCCACATCTACAGATCCACAGGACTCAACATGATCTCTGACCAAGGGACAAAAGACTGACCAAGGAAAAGGTCAGGAAAATAAAACATGGCCCAGGGCTCCACAGGCACGTGGGCATAGGCATATTCACACACAGTTTCAGGAACTGGAAGAGCATATAGAGAATATTGAAATTATTTTTAACAGAAATGCTAACGAAAATGAATTTGATACATTCCTTGCAGAATTGGTAAGTACTCTGCAGCAATAGTGAACCAATATTTTAATAGTAAAAAAAAATCCATTTATTCCAATCTCAAAATAACTCAAGGTTATTATTTTTAATGTTGCTACTTAGGTTATAAAAAGAGTTTTGAATTTGTATATATTTGATTACTAGGGTGTTTACAAATTTTTATAGGATTTAAACATTTTAGGAATTACTTTCTCTTATTTTTTCAAGTCTTCTGGCTATTCTTACCAATTTTGTGATTATACATTAGCACTATTATATGTTAGGATTTTTTTCTCTTAATTAGCTCTTTAGCAAATAATTTGTGGTGTTTGTAGAAATGCCTTTATAATTTAGATTAAAAAATCAAAATTTACAAGTTTTATTCATGATTTCTTCTAGTGTTATTTTTGCCAATATTAATTTATTAATTATAGATTATTTTCCCTTTTTCAATAGTTCCATTTTCTACTATAAAACAATGTGATTTTATTGCACCTAAAATTAGCACAGAAAAGCATGAAGGAGAAATTGATTAATCATGTTTGAAATATTTAACCATTATTAGTATATTTTAAATAAATTTTAAGATAGGTGGATAGATAATAGGTTGTTGCTTAGGAATCTGTTTCATACATTAATATATATATATATATATAAACTGAATAAATAGGTTTCTTATGCCTGAGTAGTAGAATTATAGATTATTTTTATTTTCTTAATCTTTTATAAATTGTTCACTTTTCTATGAAATAGTTTGTGTAATCAGAAAAGATAGTTAAATAAAAGACAAAAGACATGAAAAAAAGTCTGTTTGATTAAAGTTCTTTAATAAATGAGAGAAAGAGCCAGGCCATATGAGAAGGTGGCACATGCATGTAATCCCAGTGGTTTGGGAAGCTGAGAAAGGAGGATTGCAAGTTGAAAGCCAGCCTCACCAACTTAGTGAGGCCCTAAGCAATTTAGTCAGACCCTGTCTCAAAATAAAAATTTTTTAAAAAGGGCTGAGGATGTGGCTCAGAGGTTAAGTGGCCCTGTATTCAATTCATTGAATGAATGAATGAATGAATGAATGAACAAATAAAAATAAATAAATAAATAAATAAATAGGGTTGGGGTTGTGGCTCAGTAGTAGAGCACTTGCCTAGCATGTGCGAGGCCCTGGATTCAATCCTCAGCACCACATAAAAATAAATAAATAAAATAAAGCTGTTATGTTCAAATACAACTAAAAAATCAATATAAAAAAATAAAAATATAAATAAATGCAGTGCCTTCCTCCGTGTTTCCATAAGCTCTGTAAGTACCAACTCAAATGTCTGCTGTCTTTGTTGGTCTGATAATTTACTGTGTTGTTTACACTGACTTTTGATTTTGTTAGCTTGGTTTTCTCATATTTTGTGTCTTTATGGACATAGTGCATATTGCCAGGAAGGATTTTACTTTGTCCATAAAGACTGACTAAGGATCCTATCAATTTTGGACTTCTTTAAACTGAATTTTCATTTTGTAAATTTTTAGACAAATCAGATTCTAGAGCAAATTATAGTCCCAAATATACATGTATGCAAGGCTACAGTAGAAACTCAAAACAACAGAACTACCTCCCCTTCCATTCTGTTTACAGGTAAGCATCCCCACTTTAATCTTTGGCTGGGTGTCCTTGTTTTTTCGCTTGCCCATTACTTTCTTGCCTTCCAGAGATCCTGGCTCATTGATGGTGTCCAGTCTAACTTCCAGCTCTGGAGAGGCCCATGCATGCCTGGTTTCTTATCTTACATGCACATTGTCTGTAGAACTTGAAACTCTGGTTTCAAGACAATTAGTGATGCCCCAGGGAAAACTCTCTTTTTTTGCACTTTCCCACCATTTTTACAGTGCGTTTTTTTTTTTTTTAAGAGAGAGAGAGAGAGAATTTTTTAATATTTATTTTTTAGTTATCGGCGGACACAACATCTTTGTTTGTATGTGGTGCTGAGAATCGAACCCAGGCCGCACGCATGCCAGGCGAGCGCGCTACCACTTGAGCCACATCCCCAGCCCTACAGTGCATTTTTTAAAATATAAAAACAGTGAGTATTTTTTTTCTTACCTCCTGACAGTTGGACCACCCACTTAAAATATTTCTGAAAACATGTTTTTCAGTTTATTTGTATATTCTGAACTGGAAGCATTTCTGCAGACATGTGGTTAACTGTACTTTTAAAAGCAAAAGTTGGCCTTCTTTTATCCTTCTTTTCAATCTTTACATTTTTTATAAGTGTATTAAAAACTTTGAGATTTTTTTTTTTTGAAGATGGTGGAATGTGATGGACATCTTTATCCATAGTTCATGTATGAAGACACAAATTGGTGTGAACATACTTTATATACAACTAGAGATATGAAAAATTGTGCTGTATATGTGTAATAAGAATTATAATGCATTCCACTGTCATTTATTTTTAAAAAATCAATTTAAAATTTTTAAAAAAATAAAAAATTTTAAAAAGTATTCAAAACTGTTTTCTGCCTGGATATCATATGCATTCTACAAATGTTGGCACATGGTTTTTATATTTTAATTCAAAAATTTTAAAATATTCTTGGGCTGGGGTTGTGGCTCAAGCCATAGCGCGCTCACCAGGCATACATGCGGCCCGGGTCGGATCCTCAGCACCACCTACAAACAAAGATGTTGTGTCCTCTGAAAACTAAAAAATAAATATTAAAAAAAATTCTCTCTCTCTCTCTCTCTCTCACTCTCACTCTCTCTTTAAAAAAAAAATATTTTTTATAATTTCCTTTAAATGCCAAGGTCATTTAACACAGTAATTTTATAGCTATGAGATTTATTTTAGGTAACTTTTTTTGTAATAATATTCTATTTCACTGAAGTTGGGTCAGACAACATGTTTGTATGATATTTGGCATAGGATATATTTATTTGGCCAAATAAAGATTTATTTTTATGAATGTACCAAGTTTTCTTAAAAGAGTTTTATAGTGCCAGTGTTAAATTTATGTGAACCCTATTACTTATATTACCTCTATCTTTGCATAATGTATACCAACTTGGAAAAGTAAAGTTAGTAAACATACACTTTAATTATTGATTTGTTTGTTTTTGTTCATTATTTTTTTCAATTAAAGTGGCCTTGAACTGGAAACAATACTGATATTGCATTTGCATTTCAAGACATTACTTTTTTTTTTTTAACCATAGATTGAACCCATGGGCACTTAACCTCTGAGTCACATCCCATCCTTTTTTATTTTTTATTTTAATACAGGGTCTCACTAAGTTGCTGAGACTGGGCTTTTAACTCATGATCATCATGTCTCAGCCTCCTGAGCAGTGAGATTACAGGCATGTGCTATAGAACCTGATTATGAGCATTACATTTTTACAATTATTTTAACTCATATTGAAAACCTTCTTTCAATACTCCAAAACTTATGCATGCTTCCACTTTAAGTTTTATTTTATCTGTGCTAATATTCACTAATTTTGTTACCTTGCTTTGTATTTGGTAACATTTCTTACATCCCTACATTTCTTTTTTTTTTAAATGTCTCTTGTAGAAAACAAATTTTTAGTTTTGATACTTTATTTAATAAGATGTTAAAATTAATTATCATTGACTAGTTATTTTTGTATTCATTGCAATGTGATTATATTATTTTTCTTTCTACTGTCCCATCTGTTTTTTCTTTTTTATGCTTTTTTTCTGTTTTGTCTTGTTTTGTTTTCTCCTTCTTTCCTGTTTCTACTGATACCAGAATTTCATATGCTGAGTTAAACATCAATACTTTCTCTTCGCTCCAAATAAAGTAAAGAATTTTAATTGGTTTTATCTCATACTTCATCTTGTGTGTGAATATGGTCTGGAGTTTTATGATTTTTATTTATATATTTATTCAAAAAACTGATAAAATATGTATAACAAAATTTATCATTTTAACCATTTAAGGGCATAATCATGTGACATTTATTATATTCACAATGTTGTGCAGCCATTACACTATTTCCAATACATTTTTATCATCCTAAACAGAAATTATGAGCACATTAGCAATAATAACCCATAATCTTCCTTCCCCCCACCCTGTTCCAGTAATCTGTAGCGTACTTTCTAGTTTTATGAATCTGACTATTCTACAAATGTCATTTAAGTGGAATCACACAAAATTTGTCATTTGGTGTCTGGATTATTTCACTCAGCATAGTGTTTTCAAGATTCACACACTAATCAGATCCTCATTCTTTTGTATGACTGAATAGCATTCCATTCTATGAAAACACTACACTGAGTGGTATTACTGGACCAAACCTTATAACTCCAATGTTTAACGTTTTGAGGAAACACCAAAGTATTTTCCACAGTAACTGAACCATTTTACCTCCCTTCTAACGAGGGTACAAGGGTTCCAGATTCTCTACATCCTGACCCACACTTGTTTTTCCAGGTTTTTGTTATTTGTAACTCTCCTAGTTGATTTGAAGTGGTATTTCTATTTCGATTTGCATTCCCTAATGACTAATAACATGTAAATCTTCAGAGGGAATGTCTATTTTTTTATTTCTCTTTTCAAAATTAGGTTTGGTTGTTTTTTGTTTTTGTTTTTTGGGGGAGTACCAGGGATTGAACTCAGGGCACTCAACCCCTGAGCCACAATCCCCAGCCCTATTTTGTATTTTATTTAGAGACAGTGAAGTAGAACAGTTGAAGTTGGACACCGAAGCATAGCAGGAAGCAGACTTATTGGCTGCAGCCATGTTCAAAAGGGGGGCTTTTCGCCTCCTTCAAATCATCCCTTTGAACCCCGAGTTTAGAAAGTTTTAGAACTTTATGCCCAGTATGTAAGGGGAACGGCTCAGGGGCTCACAATTTGTGAAAATTCACATAAAAGTAGCTTTTTCACTGTTCTGGGCACCCAATTCAGGCCTAGGACATCCTCTGTGAAAATCAGTGTCTGGGTAAGGGAGTTTTTCTCCTCTTTCCTTTGAAGAGCTGGTTTTCAAGGATTTCTCCACTCTCCTTTAAAAATGTAAATGCCTCTGTGAAGGTCTTGGGTTAGTCTTACACTCTGCTTGAGCAAACATTATCTCCTGCCTGACAACTCTGTTGTAGAAATTCTTGCTGATAGTCTAAGTACAATTATGTTAAACAGAATTTTTGAGGGTCTCTGGAGAAGCTTAATTAAGATTTTCTGTGAAGAAGGGGGTGGCACTACAACAGGATCGCACTGAGTTGCTTAACGCCTTGCTCTTGCTGAGGATGACTTTGAACTCATGATCCTCCTGCCTCAGCCTCCCAAGCCACTGCGATTACAAGCGTGTGCCACCACTGTAGGTTGTCTTTTTTGTAACTGAGTTGTAGCAGTTTTATATGCATTCTGAATATTAAACCTTTTTCAGGTATAAAATCTGCAAATATTTTCTCCCATTCTGTAAATTGTTCAATTTATTTTACCAGCTTTTGATGCAGAAAAGTTTTCATTTTGAGTTGAGTCCAATTTATGTACTTTTTGTTGTGCTTATACTTTTCATGTCATA